TTCACCTAAGAAGTGAAATTTTCGTAATTTTAATTTAATACACTACACAACTTCTGAAGATGCACTGAAAAGGATTTTATTCAGTGAAAGAATTTAGAGCTCAAAACAGTGAATCCTAGGCATGCAGAAACTTGTCTTCGGCGGATATCGAATAGTAGACTACCGTTTCCACTACTTTTTAGTTCTCAGGGACGCGTTAAAAAATATAACTCATTTCCATTCTCCTGTCCCCCTATAACATACAAGAACCGTTCTGAAAAAAAAAACGCTCCACACCCTAAACGGCTTTCCTGGTAAGAAGAACTGAATCGCTTGCTTCAGAAATCAGCGGAAATGAACACTTTGTTCTTAAATATTCCAATTTTCCTGTAAAGCGTAAAAGGTGAACAAGATGCACAATGAACAAGAAGAAATGCGTTAGTAATCCACCTTTTTGCACAACCCCACAAAAAAGTTACTCCTAAACCCAAAAAAGGTATATCTTCGTGATTGATCCTATAAGGTCACACCTGCAAATCTTGCAAAAGAAAGACAATCGTATACGTCTCATAGAAACCCTTGTAAATGATCGAAGATTTTAGCGTCTGACATCATAAGCAGAAAGAAAAAAGTAAAGCAGCATTGCAATGGTGGTAACCTGTGGTGACTGGTCGCGACCATCATTCACATATGTCACTCAAACAAAAGTTCATAGAAGTTCCGAATGAAGTCCTGCTAAAGAGGCGGATCAGTCACAACAGCAGTAAATTTTCGGATAGAGTAATCTGTCTTGTGACCATTGTTCAGTTTTTAAAGGTGCATCCGCCTTATACTAATTCTGATTGGAAATGACAACCATCTTCGTTCATGGTGTCAAATTTAACAAGGTATAATCGTAAACACAATTTTGATTTTCTTTCTCCGCCTATGAGTACACCCTAAGAGCCTCTCAAGATAATGAAATCAAGAATAGAGAGAATAAGAATACAAAAAATGGTACTTCCAGGGTCGCGTGGATGGTTGACAAAAAGCGCTATCGCCAAAGCATATGAACTACGAAGTTGAAAGGTCAACATTAATTTTAAATAAACGCACCCCCGTCTACTCTCCAGCCCTGCTCTCCTCACCAAGACCCCACTCACTTGTTCGATGTTGGCGTTATGTGCGTGGTCGTCGGTAGCCGTGACAGTGTCGACACCATCCTCGCTGATTGTGGGCATGACATCGCACATCATCGCGCCATTGTTCCAACTCATCGCCCTAAAGTGTTCGAGTTATTTACCCAATGATTCTTACAAAATAAGAGGAGAAAAGGCAGCAACAGTATAGATTCCTTTTCAACAAAGGATTGAGCACTAACGTGGGACCAAAACTCAAAATGTTTTCAAAATGATTTCGTAAATGTGATTAATTCTTGGTACAGTCGAGAATAATGAGACGATATGATAATCGCATTTGATGATTCAGGAATACGCGTGTGTAAAACGAGGAATAAAATTACGCGATATTGCAAGAAAAACAGCGCTTCAGAAAACAAAACACAATAGAAGACACACAAACCTCGAACAGCGCGTTATGTTTGACACCTCAAACATCACTCATGAATTTATTTTTTGTACTGACAAGTATGAATTTGCGAAATTCAGCAATGTTATTATTACCAGTTTGGCTCCGCTCGCTACCGAGCGGCAAAGTAGGTCCCAGTAGAAGTGAGCACAGCCGGGTTCTTGTATTAGACATGCTTTGATGAATCTTACTGATGTTATTAACGAAAGGTTGGTGCTTATGATAAGGCAATCATTTCCCGCGGCTCTTTGGTAATCCCAAACATCCATCATCTTCGAAAACCAACATGGTTTACGGCTGAAGAAGCTTTGGATAGATACATTATTCGAGCTGCTCACTATCAGGACTTAGCATCATCAACAATCATGCTACGGATTTTGGGATGGTTTAGCAGTTGAAAATTTGCGCCGGCAACAACAAAATAGAAACACCAACCGATCATACTGCTACAAACACCGACCATCTTAAAAAGCTCGGGCAGATTAATGCATCTCAATGCTGAAGACGAAATCGCAACGAATGGGAATGCGTTTCTTATCGCGTTTCTAGATGACAACTGCAGACACCTTCGTTCTTCGGCTAACTGCTCTTATCAACCCTTATCAGCTATAGTCACTTTTTATCACCCACCAAATGTGACCCTTCCGAAGATAGCACCTCTGCTGCTGCGCCGCTCGCTATGAATTCCGTGACTCTTCCCTTTTAACACATTGCGGACCGCCGTTGTATGAGCACCTTTGTAGCTTTTTTATATTTTTCAAAAACGTATCATCATTAATCTATCAACAATTTTACCAGTGATGACACGTATGGTTTCCAGGCTTTGAAAATGAGTGCAACCAGTCCATGAGCATTGAGAAATGCCAAATAAGTCTGATTAAACTATGATGTTTCGAGTGAAATCGTGCGCCACCATGTGGCGCACGCGGTACGCAATGTGTTAACGTCCCTTATCAGATATTATCAGTTGCTATCAGTTTCTGTCACCCAGCAGATAGTTTACGTCCCAACTTCTATATCATATCATAAAATCAACCCCTGACGACTGCTGCAACGCGAAATTATATATAGTAAGGATTATTCATATCGGTAACGAATTTACAACTACACATCAACTTTTAATTAGCGCAAACGTCCAACAACAAAAAAAAAGAAAGCAAACAAAAATAACGCATCGCTTATTATTACGTATTATAATGGTAAGGAGGAGCAGGAAATCTGTACTCCTCTTTATAAACACCCGCAAAGAAGTCATATCACAAAGCACCTTCCGCTAGTATCATTTGTAAAACTTCTTTCCGATGAAACCTCCAATATTTACTTCATAACGGCTTTTCTATTGGTAACACGAAGGTAATCAATAAGATCGAAAACTGTGCGTTGAAATTTGCAGCAAACGTTAACTAGATTCTAAATGAAACTACAATTCTGGAGCCTTTCGGCCCTTTCAAAGACCAGCACTGATTATGGAGATGATAAAAATATTTCAAAGAGTATGTAGGCTGTGATTTTTCTAAAGATTGTTACGAATGCAAAGTAAAAAGCAATGATAAAACACTTACACGCGCCCACAGACGTTTCCCGGCTATAATCGTGCTCGCGGGAAAATTGTCGTGCCCCGGACCAATGCTGTCTAAGAAGGGTTAGCGATATTCACTGCAACAGCCGCCGATTCATTACGCATTAGTGGAAGAGCGCGAGACGTGTGTAACGCAACACAATATGTCACTTGCGACTCACGGATATCATTCAAAGTACAGCCATCAGTGCTGCCGCTACCGGCCGCCATGGGGCGCTAGCGTGCACCACCAACCCTACGCAGCGTAGAGATATCATCTGACTAACTAATCTGTACTTCATGAACTCCAACCTACAATCTCCCCAGAATTCGATAACTGCTATATTGACAATGCGCCATGAGGAAAAAATTAGTTTATGACCGCATTTTCCCAAACCCAACTCAAACAAAACTCTGAGAGCAAAACCTTTGCGAAGGCAACGAGTTAACTCGCGACACAATCCCTGAACCGCGCTCTACAACAAAAGCGTAGCGACCCAAGAAAACGAAGGAAAAATTACGAACGTGACGGTCTTTCACAACCGTGTTTCAATATATACATTCAAAATTGGCATGCAACTGTGTTCGATAGAAATCTGCACCCTAGCTTAATGGCTCTTATTTTTCTACGCGAAGTTCATTTCGAAGTGTTTCTATTCTCTAACTTGCCTCAGGCTTTCGTTGTACCAAGAACATCTGAGATGTTTACAAGAAAACTTTCTCACGCATTTTTACTAGCGGAAGCCGCACTTTTCAGCACGATACAAGTTGGAGGGGACGAGTCGGCGGCAGCCATTGTCTACTAGTCTGCGCCCTCTTACCGAGACAACGGCAACAATCAGTGCGAAAGGAAAAGAATGTGAATGCGCGCCAATGACTTGCCTCTCTCCACTTCCGGAAAACAACTTTTCCTAACATTTTTCACCTCGTTTGGAGATTATCACAGAATGAAATTCAATAATGCTCATACGCAATAATACAAGAGATTTGAAAAAATAGGGACTTATGGTTGAGGAAAGTTAAAACATTCGTTTTCTACAGGGTTCATAATATAAATGAAAAAACGGCGCCCATGACCTGGAGGGGGAATCAGAACCGGGCATTCGAAAACCGCAATGGTAGGGGACTAAGACAAAGCCCAAAAGAGGGGAGAAACGCCAGGGAGAACAAAATTGCTCACAGCTCACATCCTTCGCCAGAATTCCTTCCTCTCCTAAGGTTTATTGCCAAGTACTTCAAGTGGCTCATTCAATTAAATGCCCCCCCCCCACGACATGGGCGCGAATCTAAACTAATCGAGATTCTACCTTTGATTGGGTGTGGTTCACTAGGACAGAAAGCGACTTTTCGCGTTTCGCAGCGAAAACCTCAGGTCCACTCTGATTATCAGTGGACCCGAGGTTTCCGCAACGAACAATGTGTCGCACCGCGAGACCGAAAAAGTCACTTTCTGTCCTAGTTAACCACACCCTTTTTACCTAACAACTACAAATCACCGAAACTCTCAATCACGTTTCAACTCACATTCCATGAATCTCGACCGAAAAAGGATTCAACGGTTGTCAGTTTCTAAAGTACGATAAGCTCAAGACCTTTCTAATGCAATAAATGACTTGTAAAAAGCAAAAACTAATCTTATACTGTCCAAGGTTAAATTGTTGAAAAGAAAACAGAACTCAACCTCACGTTGACTGAGGGTGAACAGACCGTCGTCGTTATCGCAGCCAACAATGATAGCGAGAAATTACTTCATCGCTGTGATGACGACGTTGGCGATATGCAATCCGGTCCAATGAATCGCTGCAAAGAAGTACACCAGTAATGTGGCTACCAACATGAAGTGCGAAAGGAAATGCTGCGAAACGGAAAACTTGGTGCCAGCCACTAAAATGTCAAAATGGGCATACAGGAAGACACAATGGACACATTCGACGACGTCATCGATTCATCATACGAATGTAATCTTGTATGCAGCCGCGAGAATCACAATGTTACGAATGAATACCTCGGGTAGCTGGTGCAAATACACACCGCCATCCGCTACCGTAGGCTTACGCCTGGTTTTATTCCTCGATGGATCGCGGCTCGAAAATTATTTCGGGCCCACTTCACGATAACAAGAAATGATGTTTGTTTCAATCTTGAAACTATGGTGTGAAGGCCTTGGTGGTCAAGGAAAAACATTAAAGCAATTTAAATAAGATCTTCTTTCGCAGATGCTTCTGAGCTTTACAAGCTTACAGGCGTTCATTCTTTACGGGGGGGGGGACACTCAAAATAGGGCGGTTGACGGACTACTTGAGCTCACCCCTTTACCGCCTCTGCGCTCTCTAGCGGGTCCCTCTCCTCTCCAAGGCTTAGTCCTAGGGCATACTCTAATCGTCTGTGCTCTAGCCATCGCGGCAGGACCAATGAGGAAAAATCAAGTAGTCCGTAAACTTATAATAACCCTAATAACCCTGGTAGGTGACATTATGACTAAGCCCAGGAGAGGGGATCCGCCAGGGGGACAAAATTTGCTCACGTCCCGCAAAATCCCTTCCCTACCAAAGCTCAGTTATAGGTTCTGTCAGTGGATCATTCACGTCAATGCCCCCCCCCCCCCAGACATGAGCGCTAGCTTACATAGTAGAGCTAATGAGAGACGGGACGAGAGAGCAAACATCGGGGGGACGAGGAAGCAAAGAGACAAGCGAGACACAGACACTGATGTGTCTGTCAATCGCTCTGTGGGTCTAATAGGCTTATATGCCATTACATACCTGCGTCGAACCCTTGGAGCCCATGCCACCATATTCAATCCATAGGATTAGACCTCATCCACAACCTTAGCATTTGCAGAGCGGTGTCCTAGCTCTCGTAGGAGAACGTCTCACACAGCTCAGGTTGGATGTGTTTTGAACTTCCGTTGATACACATATGTGTAACCTGGCACAGTGCCACATTTTCACAAACTGTTTATGACAGGAGCGCCCACTGTAATGGAAATCTCATAATCTTCGCTTTAACCACAACTCGTCTCAAGTTAACGCGTGTTCCCTTAACTCCTTGCGTACGTCCGTGCTTCTGGCATCTAAGAAGATCTTCTGAGCCTTTCGCCTTTGTTAACCCATCGCGGACCGCCGTTATGTGTACACCTCGATAAGTTTCCGTCGTCTGTGTCTGTTTCCAGGAAGCAGTACCCTCACCATCACAGGCGATCGAACGGTTATGTCGGGAGTGAAGGAAGAGGTATGAAAAGTGGGCACGGAGTTAGAAGGGTAGGAGCGAGGAACAACGAAGGGAAATGTGGCCGTTCGCAGCACATTCTTCTCGAAAGGGGGACCCAAAAGGTAAATATCAGTAGTGGAGGGAGGCGAACGGAAATCAATGTACGTGTAAGAAGACCATCCTTGAAAGTGTAAAGAACATCAAGGTAGTCGCCGGCCAAGAACTGGCTCCACAGTAGGTCCCTTCAGGCAGACACTGCCACAGACCTGACCAAGAAGACATGGGTGAGAACAGAGCGCCGGTTAAAGAAGTTCCACCAAACAAGGAGGGGTCGATCTCAAATGAAGGATATTGGAATTTGGCCTCCAGATCCACAATCCAACAAAAAGGACAGTCCAGCACACCTGAAACGACGCAGCTAGAGTCGTTGTGTGAAAAGGAGTACGGGGTAAGAAGTGAGGTAGATTGAGGGGGACACGGGAAGTTTGGTAAAGATAGCCCAAGGCATTTGAGACAATGAGAAATATTTCCTTTCATTTTGAACGTCCAGAAAAAGTGGTACTCACCTACAATGGTTCATGCACCCTGAGCGTTCTTCCTCTCCAGAAGTAGGGACTACCATGGTCAGCAATAACCAAATGGTCAAAATGCCCTCCATATAGCCCTCCTCAGACTTTCCTCCCCTTACCCCCTACCCCCCCCCCCCGAGGCATACTGCGAATAAATTCTCATAACTTATTGCAGATTTTGTGAATTACCAGCGAGCAAACGAACCACGAGCTTTCGCACGTGTCCTGATCCAGACTGTTAAAGAATCTACAAATTGATCAGCATTATGCGGTGTTACAATCAGCACGCGGGGCGTTACCTATTTTAGTAGAGATGTCACCGCATAGATCAAGCAGAAACGATTCGAAAGGATAGAGAAGGCACCTAACCCATGGCTCTCAAAACTACGACATGGCCCACAATTACATCTGCATACCATCCGCACCGAAAACTGAACAATGAAGCTCCCAGCAGTTCATAATTTTAAAGGGACCCTACCGCAAATTTGGGATTGGAGCGCTATTGCGTTCCCCTTTCCCAATGAATGAGCGCCTCGGGTGATCCCTCACGTACTCGGGAATCTTGTCCAAATGCAATGAAATGTTATAGCAAGTAGTTGGCCAAAATTGAATTAATTCTTCAGCAAAAAAAAGACACTATGAAAGCAATTAAAATAATCGATTAAAAAACATTCACATGAGTCAAATAGCATTTGGTCAGGTTCAACGATAAACAAGAGGTCAATTAGTTGGAGTAACCATGGCTGAAACGTCCAGTCTCCTAAAAAAGGAAGATTCCTGCACAACACAGCTGGCTGGTAGTTGTACATAAATAAGTGAAGTAAGCTTGAGTAAAGCTTAGTAAAAAAGTATCATGTAAAACAAGTAACGAAATCCCTGCGTGTTACATAAAAGAATTAAAAATTACAAGGCTAATGACCACAATGAAATCCTGTAACACCGCTGGACACTAAGGTGCTGTGCTTTTGTTTAAAGGAAGATAAAATCACGATCACTATTAGTAAATGTAAAACTGAAACACGCGAATCACACAATAAATCGCTGGGCTTCTTTCCAGAGAGGCAGAAAAATGCTGCAAGCCAGGCGACGAGGGAAATGCTCATAAAAATCAGTCGGAAATAAGAAGCTAGCGACTTCACGAGTATCCCAAAATTCGTTGGGCATGGCTATTTTCGGAGGCAAAAATGTAGTTACACTTGGGCAACAGAAGTGATAGAAAAAGTGAAGGATCAAAATGAAGTGAGAGAATGAGTCATGTGAGATATCACCGAGTTCGAACGAGATTTTGTCCCAGACTTCGATCCCAGACGCCTGGCGGCCAGTCGACGATTAACGGACTGCCGTCCCTCGGACATAACACACGTACTCGAATCGATTGCCCCACCGGCAACACCACACACCACACATACATACGTACATATATACCACACATAGCTATACACATATATATTACATTTCCTGATTTGTTTTATTTTTTAATGTCAGTCGCCGAAGTTGGGGTTAACCGGTTCATCACGTTATACCTGCGAGTACTGATACGCTATGGTAAATATAACACACATTATGTAGATATTTACTTATCGGATAATTAAATATATTTCCCATTATTTTTCATTTATGTACGTGTAGCATTCTGAAGTCAAGAGCACGTGCACATGTTCTGACCATTTGTCACCAAGTGCTGTTAGCCCGACGTATTCAAAAGCAATTCACCAAAGAAGCCAATTTATCCCCATTCAACAATTTCGAGCCGAGAAAGGCCCAGCGCAGGTATCCATCAGACACTTTTCATTTTTTAATCATTACATGATCTTGTTTCCATACCCCAACCAAACCACTTAACCTAGGGGCGGAGTTTACGATGAAAAGTAGTACACCGGATGTCAAGGTAGAGGTGGTCAATGAAGGGTGAAGAAAAAAATCACGAATGGCTCATGAGGCATGGGACCCTTTCCTTGCCTCTTGATTCCCGCACTGATGCGAGTCTCATTGGTACTGCCCTCTTCATCGCCAACGCTCTCTCTCACTCTGGTAACTGGCTAGGGAGAGACGATGAGGGGTTATCTATAGGAGGGCGTACAGAGGCGCGAGGTGCGCGCATACGACCAGGGTCAACCGTCCGTTCGAACAGTTCAAACGGGGGGGGGTCGCATCTGTGTGTCTGGGGAGGGGGTCGCATTGGTCGCATTGCGTGCCTTGGTGATTAGTGGCGCAGGGCATAGGTGTGTGCGGTTGCTGTTCACTGGTTGTATATACCCCCCGGTCGACGGCTGTTTTTGGGGGAAAAGTGGGTGGAGATTGGGAGTTTTAGGTAGGTTTTGGGCTGTGTCAACTGGTCTCAGAATCAAACACTATAAAAGAGGGAGAGGTCGCGGTGGAGGAAGGCTGGTTGTATTGGGGGGTCGCACCTGTGTGTTGGGAGGGGTCGCAACTGGTCCCTCTCGAGAGGGGGGGGGTCGCGAAAATCCCGAAAATGTTCAAACGTGACGGTTGTCCCTGGATACGACCCTTCTAGGCCGACCGTATAACTGTGATTAGTGATTGCAGGACCTTGTGGCGCACAGCATGCCAAGTTTTCGCACGAACCTTGCATAAGAGAAACGAGGGAGCGTGTTTTGCCCATGTGTGGTAGGATAAGCGCAGTAACCACTGCGTGAATTCATGGCCATAAGTCTATTGAATGAAGCGCGAGCCATAGTTGGAATGAAAACTTTCAAATGCTGCCGCGATTTCAAAGGCAAGAATCAGGGTCAAATTGATGGGTGATTCCACTCAAATGCGAAATCAGGGATAAGAGGTGGATCACCAGTGGAGAAAAAAAAGAAAAGAAATTTCTGAAATACACAGGAAATACTAGAATTTTGCTCCATACTGTGGGGAAGTTCAAAAGACAGAGAGGGAGACGAGAAATAATTGAGCGCGGAGAGTGGTAGAGAAGCCCGAGGAGAGAGGGCTAGCACATAAACGTGGCGACGCAGACAAGAAATCAAACGGTGGGCGGACCATGTTAAGTTTGGTGGAGTCTGTTAGAAGTCCATGGCGCCTAGGGTGCTAGTGACGCAGCTCGATGCAGAAAGGTGGTGCTACCTTTGCACTTGCGTAACCAGCACTTCTTGCCACGGTAAGGGCTTCTTAGGTGGGCCTGACTCCGAACTTTAAACACGGGCGCAGGCCTGGCTCATTTCATGGCAAAAATTCATGGTGACAACACTTTACATTCGATTTCTCAGC